ATGAAAGTGTGTGCGTCTTTGCCTTTTAAAAATTGCTGTTTTACCGATGAACCAAGAAATGTTTATTTTAGAAATTTCAACAATTATTTTTTATGATTCTTATATTACCTTTGACTTATTTGAGTGGTTTTGTAATTTCAAGAATTAAAATTGCTTTGTTTTATTGACCTCCTGTAGTCCCTGTCGTTTTAATTTTTTGACTTGGCTACAGACATCTCTTCATGATACATCATTGAGAGCTTATTTTTCCTGATTCTTAAATATAGCCACTAAATTCACTTATATGACTTATTTTCTGGATAAGTAAAGGTAAGCTAGGATGAGAAAGTCATCTGCACATTTTATCTTATGTAGTGACTTATATGTCACAGGTAATTATAAGATTAGAAAATCTATTGATTGAGAATGTTCCTTCGATTTTTTTGCTAGTGAATACTTCCCAACTTTATTGATTAAATATTTTGAAAATAAGAAATTGTAAAAGACACGATGTCCTGTGAACTGACTTATCTCACTTCAATTTCACGCTTTTCCATTCCTTAAAGGATTTATAATTAAATTTCAACCGGGTCGAACCGGGCTCTTTCCAGAAATTCTTTTCAGAAACGAAAGAGAGATTTAGAATGACAATAGAGGGATGATATTGCCGCTCTAATTTAACTTTGACATACATCAGAGGGCGTAAACAGCTTACAGCTTAGTTTTGTGGTGACATTAATACATACATATAGGTACCTAGTGGAAAAGTTCATTGACTTACTACAATGAAGCAATTTCGGTAATTTAAATGTCTCATTTATGTCTCTTCCTAATTAAAATCAGCCCACATAAAAACATAATTGAACTTCTTCTTTTTTTTTTGTTAACTTTGTTCATAAAGATATTACATTATTAATTACACTAAAATGTATAAAATTTTCTTTCTTAAAAGTAATTTTATAAAGAGCATTAATTAATTGCAAACTTAAGTACCTACAGTGATTTAATTAATAAAATTTTCTATTAAAAGCCGTCGTAAATTATTGGCCAAGAACCTAATCCGTGGTTATTAATTTGGTTTATGTACATTTCACGCCGTTGTTTACCCAATTGGACAAGTAGAGTAATTAAGACTCTCGTCTGACTTTTAAAATACTTCAGTTATACTTCATTTACTTTCTCTAGCGATGTGCCCCTTCCAATGTCTTGGATGCGCGCTGGCAAAATCGTAGGTAGGGAGAAAAAAGCTCATTATACTCTCGACTCTTGTTCATTAAACATACTTTTTTATACAGTACCTGCCAAAACTTTAGTTCAATCATGAATAGTAGTGCGAGTCGAAAACAAGCGTTAAATCCTTTAATATATTTTCAAATGTAAATAAACATCTCGTTGATATTTTCAGTAGTAAATGGTACCAATAACAGCACATTTGAACAATGCAATTGTAGTGGATAAAATGGTCATTTTTTTCGTGCAGTACTGTACGGATTATACGCTCCTCACCAGTTAAGAGTTTGACCGAGAGTTGTCTCCTTCCTTTTCTGGCCTAGTGCTGTTCTTTTCTACTTTGCGCCGGTCAAACTGAAGGTCACATCGCTACAGAAATTGAACGAAGTATAACAACAAACATCAATAATTACTTACTATTTTATCGTACTAACGAAGAGATTAATCCGTTCTTATTTTTAAAAAAACTTGTGGAATATACAGATCTGAAAGTAACTCTTTTCGAGAAAAACGTAGTTCAAAGTACAAACAAATCTAATTCCAACCCTGGAGAGAAATGCGAGGCTGATGCAACGTCATATTCAATCAGCTGCTAACTAGCAGCATAAGTGTTGTTATTTCTTTTGTATTTAGTTGCTAATGTATTGTCTCATATTTGTTAGATTAGATTAAGTATTTTTGGTGTTTTCAACTAATTAAGCGAATATGGGAAACAAACCAATTTTAAAAGGATATCTTAATTACCAAAAAGATCTGAAAGATCTTATAAGATAATATTTCCATTAGTGTTATTACGACATTAATCACTTTCTTAAAAGTAAAAACCTAATTAGATTCCATAAGAACCCCTACTGTGGCTGTTTATGTAATTAAATCCAAAAATAGTATTTAAAAATGTAACATCTTTTTGGGACATCTTAATTATAATTCCTTTAACAACATCACCTTACAGATAAATGTAAACAGATACGAAGATACAGGGGTGTATTTACTGCTTTGATTACCTACTATAGGTATTTATATATGTATTTCTTTTAACTTCTTGTTTTTAGATGTTGATGAGGAAATTTCTATTACTCTTGATAATTGTTTTTCTTCCAAACTAAATAGAAAATTTAAATACCTAAATAATTACTATCCAAAGGAAAACCTAGAACAGTTATAGTCCTGGAGTGATATTTTTACAATAAGTTAAAGTTTCTTAAGTACCAAATCTCGTTGTTGATTTCTGCAGATTTCTTCATAATATGCCAGCCTTTCAGAAGCTTACCGTCTGTTTCTGTAACAAAGCGGAAGTATCTGAATTTCTTTTTAATGAACAGAAGCGTTATACACCTATATGCAAGGTTAACCATTCCCTTGATTGAAGCAATGAAGAGATCTAGTGGAAATCATTCGAAATGTGTTAATTTAACATTTAGATTGAGGAAAGATCTTTCGGAAAATCGTTTAGAAGTAAACTATTGAATTCAAATGGACGTTACGTTAATATTTTCTTATCTGTTAAAACTCATCCTGTAGGAGTTCTTCATTTATACCACGGCTGATCCCTTTGCTACGGCCCTGACCCAATTGTTTTCACGTCGCATTGAAGCCTGCTATATACAGGCAAACACTACAAACTCCTGTCAATAGCAGACGATCAAGTTTGGGAGAATCTTATAAAACTATTGAAATGGAGCCTGTCGAGCAAAGAGCGGTGATTAAATATTTGCGTTTACACAAGATACTGAAAGTTTTCTTGCAAGGCTTGTAACAACAGATGAGTTCTTGATCCATCACTACGATGTAGAGATCAAAATACAAAATAAGTAATGGATCCATCGGAGATCACCACCGCCGAAGGTGCAACCATCAGCAAGGAAAGTAATGTTAAGGATGATTTAAGATTTTAAAAGTGTAAATTAGGTAGATTTGCTGCAGAAAACGGGTCACAATTAGGTCCTTATTGCGGTAATTTAGTTACGGCAGTAAAAGAAAGCTTAGGTGTTTTCTTGCATAAGGATAATGCATCCAAACGTCCGCCATTGCAAAAGTTACAAGGGCTTTGAATTAGTTGAGCATCCGCCATTATAGCCAGATTTGACTCCTAGCGATTACCGATTGTTTCCATAACTTAAGGAATCATCGCGTAATAAGTAAATGATTTTTATCATATAAAGTGGTTTTCAGAAGCTGAAGGATGTTGAAAAATAAATCTAAAATACTTATAAATTTGTTATTGTAAATAGGCCATGGTTGGAGCACATTTATTTATGCATATGACATAATAAGACGCGCTATCATGTCAGGTAAGTGAACTATATATTTTCAATAAAGAGCATTTAGTTCTAGATCAGTAATTTATCGAAGCAGCTAGATATGAATCGCGATTTCGATTGTATTAGTTCTCATCGGCACGCTATTTGCAGTCTAGATAAATCACCAACGAAATGGAAGTTGTTCTGTAAAAGGAAGTTGATATTATACGAAGATATGGGCAGTACGTTGCCACCTAGTAATATTCGATGTTAACATTGAGCTTTTATCAAACATTTGAAATACTTCTGCCTGTAGCATCACATTTTTTAAATTAAGACTCCATATCTAGGGGAGGTGGGGTTGTTCCCGGTTTATTTTGATTAATGTGGTGATTCCTACCTTGCGGTTAATCCAACACAACTCTATTAAGAAATAAGGAAGATCTTCTATTAGAACCTCTGGTGCGGGAGAGACCTATTGTATTCCTACTAGGCTTAGCAGGTTTCGGAATCGTCTACGTTCATCTCTCGCTTGTATGAACTATTAAAATAATAGCGGACTTTCAACTTGCAATTAGTGGCATTAAAGTTATGTTAAGCCATTTGCAAAACTAAAAGTTATTTGTGTAGTCGTACTATGACAGGTAATGAATCTTTGATCAACAAATTATCGAGACCAATGAGTAATCATCATTGTCGATATTGTTTTTAAGGGTTTTATGTAAGAACCATGTAGATATTTAGCAGTTGTTGACTTTGTTGATCAAAATGATTATTTCAGACAGACATTAAAAACCATGATAATTGTAACTTCTTTTTTCGGGTATTTACTGGTAGGTGCTGTACATATATTTTAGAATAGATCGCCCACGACTCACTGAAGGAATATACCGTTTGTAAAATAATTTTATTTATTTGTNTTTTCATTAGTAATAGTAGCGAATATAGGGACAGAAACAAGTTGTAGTGAAAATTAATATAATATTGTAATTACTGTTTTTCCTACAAACTGTTTGTCTCTCTACTACAACTTTAAAGAATATGTACTGCAAATTCTTCTTAAAAATTACTTTTCATTGTAGCATATCTCTATACAATAATTAAAAAAATATATACAAAATTGTAGCATATTTGTTTACAACTGAAACGCAAATAAATATTCAATAAAAATTGCTACATTTTATCTTTATATTTTCTACAAAATTTATTTAATCTTATTACATTTTGTAATGAAATTTACGAAGTTGTTATTGTAAATATTTCATTAAAATTGTAAGGAATTCGTCTGAGCCTTTGTCGATATTTCTCCTACAATTTACCACTACAATTTTATAGTCAAATTTAAATTTACCGTTAGTTAACCTTACTTCAAATTTGAGTTGCATTTTCTACAAAACGACCTCTACAACGTTATAGTAATTTTTCGTACAGCATTTTTCTGAGTGTACAAATACAACGAATGAAAAAATAACACAGAAACTACGCAACATTTATTATATTTTTGATTTTACAACAAATCAATATTCATCTAGATATACAGTGATAGTCGGTTACAACATTATTTTAATAATGTAGAAATTCTATGGATATTATTAAGGTGATTATTTATGCACTTATCATTATACCTCGTCCTCATCACTAGCATCCGACATGCAAGACAGTTGTTCGCACCACCACTCCCGGATCTCATTTGTAGTATTGGATAGTTTCGGAATGCTTGCTTTGCTGTTTGCTATGTTGTCCCTAAGTACTTTATTTACCTCAACAGCTTCGTTGACATGGGGTAGATTCTTGCTGACTGGCGGCGGAACTGAATATTAAAGAAGGCAGTGTTATTACAGAAAACAGACTATGGAAAGTTACAACAGATTCCACTCAAATCAATTTAGGAAGGCGAAGTCTACAGTAAATTGTTAAACTCAAGAATGCTCCCTCGGTTTAAAAACAAATGAAATTGCTATTACGGGCTGGACTCTTGTAGGAATGCTTGGGTGGTGGTTGGGGTGAGACGAAGCGAAACGAAGACAAAAGAGAATGAAGAACATCTGTAGAATATTACTGTCCCAGCTTTGCCTTACTGGTCCAAGGAAACCACAGAAAAACTTGGACCAGGACAGACGGATCCGGAATCGAGCCCGCGTCCTCTCAATGCTTATCAGCGTGATTGATTGTGCTCTTTATAACTTCCTAAAACTCTATAGAATATCAAACATCCCTAACTCCATTTGCGAACAGTAATCTAATCTAGGTCTTTGTTTGCCTCTCTTTACTCCTGCTTCTGTTTCTAAAATTTTGTAAATAAACTCTCGTGTCTCAGAAGGTGTTCTACCATCATGTTAAGACTATGTCACGCAGGCAATCGATTGACGGCGCCCTTTTATCATAGGTTGAGACCATCATAAATTATCACGGACATTACACACACGAGCATGAAGTTCAGTACAAAAGATAGCCCATAAGATTCTTCTCCTGATGAAACAATTCGTTACTACCTATCTCTTCTATTGACTTCATAGTCCACAGTGTCCTCTGTCCTACATTTTCTAATAGATCCTCAATTCTAATAACCTTTTCTATCCACGGTATTCTCATCATCCGTTAAGGGTGATTCGACCCTGTGCTCTCTACGATTCATACCTCTACCGCTTCTTTTATACTTATCTGATTTCCTAGATATCACAAACTCGCGCTTTCTTCTAGTGTTCGTTTCTAATTTTTATATCTTAATCTAAACATGATGATCTTTTGCCCGTACATCCTCTAGATCCTGTTCTTTGATACACAGATAATTAATTTTCTTCAAAAATATTTCTTATTTACCTGCTGGTTTACTGCTAACATTTTTTTTCTTCGTTGCTACTTCTTTCTTTTCTATTCTCGAGGATGGATCTGACAAAGTTGGAGCTAAATATTTCCTTCCACCCGGCGTACTACTAAAGCTGTCGGACCTTGGAACAGTTGCAGTTTTCGGTTTCTTCACTTCTTCTTCCTAAAAGTACATAAAACAGTAGGTTCAATTTATGAATAAAATTCAAGGAATTCGAAAGCGAAAGTGACCACGCAAATTCAGAAGTACTTGTACGTACTTTGACTTCCTTTTTGGCTTCAACTTCCGGACTAGAATTTTTGATTTCCTCTGGTACTTCTACAGGAAGCTGCACCGCCTCATTTGTAGCTCGTAAACCGGCAATTAAACTGTTTTGTTGTTTCTAAAAAACAACTCCAGGTAGAATAAAGATTTTTGTTTAGTATTTGTTTTTGTTTAAAGAAATTTAAATACCTAACAATGTTAAGTATCCACTAATTTTTCAATTGATGTATTTACTTACACTTTTAGACCTTATTTTTTTAAGGCAGCCCTCCAACCATGTCCTTATGGTTTGCTTAGCAACTTCTTCTTCAATTATGTACTCGAATTCTTCTCTGGCTAGCAACTCTTCTAGTTGCAAAGCTTTTCTTATATCCACTGATCGGTACGACAACATACTATATACCAAAGATGTTTAAATATTTTGAGAAATATTATAAATAATTACATGTATGCCATTTCTTAAATTCACAATATAAAGATACTAGATTAAGTTGTAAAAATACGGAAACAGTGCTTTTTTTCTGGATAAGGGTACCTTATGTCCTTTTTTGTACCTCTGGCAATATGTGTACAAAATTTCATGATGATCAGTTTAGTAATTAAGGCGTGAAAGCGTAACAAACAAACTCACTTTCTCATTTATACTTAGGATTCGTTGGTAAATTCTCTGTCAATGAATGCCTTTCCTAAAGTTTCAATGTTTTCGCAAGTTTGACAATTTCGTGTTAATAAAAATGTTTCTGGTAAATTAGGAATTTCACTATGAACCACTGGCACTCTCCACAACAATATTCTACTTACTCAATGCATTTGATTTAAATATATTCGAGAATAATAAAATCTTACTTGATGACATCGTGGAATGTCACATCCTCTCCATTATGCAGTCTTTCTAATTCATAGCACATATGTTTAAATAAAAGTCTGTCCTTCTGGGGATCAACCTCCAATCTTCCTTTAAGCAGTCGCAAAATAAATTTTACCTATGAACACCCAAGAAATCAATCATAATATTTAAAAAAGATATAACAAATATATGCAGTTCAACACAAACCCTTCGAACAGGTATGACGCCTCTTTGGTGTATGTCCACAATATTCCATGTGTTTTGAAAATTGCGAATATCGGCATAGGATAGTAAAGCATCTTCTTCATTCGAGTAGAATAAAGAGAAGTTTTCCATGATTATAGCTGAAGATGTTATGATTTTGTAGAGACAAACAAGGCAAAACAAGTAATAAAGAGATTTATGGACAAGGGGTATGAAGTGGCTTTGTTTTTTCATTGTTAAAATAATAATGTACAGAAGAAATTAACATTCAGTGACGGCGACGTCCAATCTGACACAGAGAAACTAATATGCGTGCTGCACACGGCGCAGCACGGCAAATGAATCATATAGTGTTACAACTTGTCAAAAAGAACTGGATGATGTATAAAAGAAATTACAAAATTAAGTTTTTGAAGTGTTACTTGATGGGTACTTCAATATTCTACGTCAATTGAAAGTAGAGTAGAATTAAGATTCTGGGCGTGGTCGAAATGAACACAAGACGTTTCGTCGGCAACTGCCTCTCTGTCAACCCCAGGGACGTTTATTTTGACTAGTACTCATTTACCCGAATCTTAATTTTACTATGAATTCTGGCGGTGAAGGCCTGTGTTTTTATATTGGAGAATAAGGCACTTTTTGGGGTAGTTTTGATTATCAGTGACTTTTCGGTAGGGCAATAGAACGATATGATTCTGGGCGTGGTCGAAATGAACACTTAAGTCAAGACATTTTGTTAGCAACTGCCTCTGACAACCCTAGGGATGTTTATTTTGACCAATACTTATCTATCCGAATCTTAATTTTACTATAACTTCTGGCCGTGAAGGACTGTGTTCATATATTAGAAAATAAGGCACTTTTGGGGTAGTTTTGATGATAACTGTCTTTTCGATGGGGAAATAAAATGATCTTATTAGGGTTCCGGTTTATTTTGAGGTACGGAACCCCAAAAATAACCAAATAAATTATTCTTACCCACTAATAGATTTAAGACAATGTAGGTAATGATTACGTAAAATGTACAAAAGTAGACCAATGCACCGGTGAAATTTCCACAATCGGTTTGCCAGTAGTTTTCAGCAGGCGTGCAATATGGCGGTTGTATCATACAATCGTGCATAATTTTATTCCAATCTTCCCCCGTAACAATTCGGAACAACATGGCTACCCCTGTTACAGGAGATTCAAAATTTGCTCTCCTTCAACGAAAACAACAAAAAAAAGAAAGTAATTTTTATGGTTAGGATTTTATCTCAGGCAATTATTGTAGTTTATTTTGTGTTATCAGTTACCTTCCAATTCCTTCTCCGTATTTGACAGTACCAAAAAGGATGGTGCCGGCTAGAGCATAGAAAAATACGAGAAGAAACATTCCGAAGATAATAAAGAAACTTTTACAGACCGACACACCAACGGTCAACATCAACATTTTTAAAGTTGCATGTTTTCCAGTGATGGTAAAGAATCGTAAAATCACAACCATAAATCCGATAAAATACGACAATTCATTCTAGAATAAATTTTACATCATGAGCGATTAATAAAATAATAATATTCAATTTTACTGTGTTATTGCTGCTAAATTTTATTGACAATACTTGAAATTAGAGAATGAGCGAAATGATTTCGCTTTGTAAATGCAGGAAATTCTGTTTAATTTTTTCAAGTCATGAAGCAGCAGTACGAAAAACAGTTCAAAAGTCACTTCAATTAGTTTCTTTTCGGGAACTACGGCGTCGATGGATCTTGGTAAATGTTTGGTACGTTCATACTCTTAGATCATATAGGTATACATACAGCGTGGACTAATGCCTATCCTAATAAAATTGTAGAACACGTCCGTGTGAACAGGGTACTTTTATCGATCGGGATTTCGAATAGCACTCCCTATTAAACGGATGTGTACTAAGGGTACATTAGCACTCCATCCATATATGCTCTAAGGATCACACTGTAGCAGTTTAGGACAGATACGTCGGAGCTACATAAATGTGAATTAAAAAAGAACATGAAACTACCCTTGTAGAGAATATTCCATTATAAAAGTTTGTTGAAGGTAAACTGAACCTCTAAGGAATCTAATTGACGTTTATGATGATGTGGGATATGCCGAGGGGTACTTATAGACAGTTTTCGTAAAATTGGTTCCAGATTGGAACATTTATTGGGGTGGTTAAAGATGAAACTGGTGTAAGTGTATTTTTACTGCAGGATGAAACGGATTTATTGTGTTACTCCAACATATGTTGTATACCAATCGAATGTTACAATTGGATACGGAAAAATCCTTATTATTCTTTTTCATTCACGTCCACTGGTACTCATGGGTGAGCCACAGTATGATGCAGAGTAAGGTGTGGGTCGGAAGATTCTCTTCAGTTTCGTTTTTTAGAGATAATGGGAATGGGTGAGCGTTGGTGGTACGGAAAGAATAGACCAGACGAACGATTAAAGACAGTGAAAGTGTCTGTGGAATAAACATTAATGCCCCAGGTTTTGGAGCACGATCCAGAGAAACCATAAAAAATATGGACCCCGAATTGAAACTGGTCCTCGCTAAATTCTCAGCCATGATCTAATACAGAGCGGGGCAAACTCGGATCTTTTGCATCCCGAGTGATCCTCAAGGTTAACCAAATAGCTCCTCATTGATCCTGCGAGTGCGAGTGAGATGATTCTTTCCTTTTCCTTTTCTTATTCCTTCCATTTCGTAGGTGAGTCCCCTCTTCCATAGCCAAACCCAATAGTTTTGCGAACGTAGTAACGAAAATTTTCGTAGGTATTATTTAAGTTGCGAGAGTGGCTTCGCTCGTCTACGGGATGAAGGGGCTTGATATGGGAGTGGAAGGGAGAAGAAAAAGACAAAACAAAATTATTCATTACTGCTTACTCTCTCGTACTCATTGAAGGGTATGGAGTGATTCAAACTAACCTCATGTAGCGGCTCCTGCGAAGTTAAAGTTTGTCCGGCTCTGATCTAATAGTAGAAACGGAAAGAACAGAAACATCATGCTTCACTCCTACTGGTTAAACGGGTTGTCCCACCACCACTGTAGTCCAAAACAGATAATGGCAGCGGAAAGAGGAAGGGTTATCTGTGGAATATTACTGTTAGAGTATTTGCCCACGTCAGGGAGAAACCATAGGCAATCTCAGGCTTAGACTGAGGTGGAAGGTGGTCCTGAAATTATTTCTTCGTCTCCCCTTAAATCAACTTTGGGTGTTTCATTCCAACTAGCTATTAATGCTACTCAGTGGGCAATCCCTTCAGGCTATTTGGCTTCCTTTTAAGGATCGTGGGAATGGGTGGGTGGAGGTTGAGATGAGAAAGATGCATCCGACTATATGAAGTCAAGAGAGAGTGAAAAATTATCTGTGGAATATTGCTATTCCAGTGGTTCAGGTAAACCACAGAAAAACCATGGTAGGCGAACCCGGCATCGAGCCAGTGTCCTCACGAGTACAAAGCAATGGCGTAAACCTTTAATTCATGCCGCTCGGCTTCCCGAATGCTAAGCTGTTATATAGCCACTAGATGACGCCATTCTGTAAACGCACATTCACCTATGACGAGGTATTTCTGCTCGGAAGTGTTCAGAGTGAATTGCAATTGCAATTCCAGTGCCGTAGGTTCCGAAATCAACTTTTGTACCGTCCCTCTTACAAGGAGGAAATAAATTATAATATTTTGGAGACGTATTTACTTTAAACGTGACATGAATGACCATCCACACGACTCCCAAAACAGTTACAAAGAGATCATAACGGTTCCTTCGGGACTGGAGATAACCTCTTGGAGTGAAAGCGATGTTCTTCATTATGACTTCTACCAGAAAAACTAGCGTACAGATAATACCAACTGTAGCTAATATATCTGTGTAAGGCTCATCTTTATTCCACTGAAAATATATTATTCTTTTCCGGGTCAGATTTTCAAAGGGTATATTTACCGTGACACTCAGGAGAGAACTGTTGATCAGGACCATGATGGCGACGAACCTTTTAAATTTGATATTTTGAGTAATATCGTATATAAAAGCCCTGAACTTTTTTCCGTCAGGTCTAGGAGGTAAATGAAGTGGTTGTGCAATTTTTAATCTCTTTTTTAAATCACACCTACAAAATATTCACGAGAAAATATCATTAGGCATAATTATTCTGGTATTAATTCATAAAAATTCGACAATATTGAATGAAAATTGAAATTTAAGACATTAAATTTATCATTTATTAACTGGAGTCTTTTTCGGTATTTGTATTTTGTTAATTAATAATTTCTAATTATTATATATGGCCNCGGGTGAGAAAATGAAGACAGAAAAGAATGAAAAATTATCTGAGGAATAATACTGCCCCAGCATTTATCTAAGTGATCCAAGGAAACCACAGAAAAACCTGGACCAAGGCAGACGGATGGACCTGGAATCGAACCAGCGTCGTCCCGAATGCTAAGCAATATTATAATTTTAAATAACTTACTGGACCTAAAGCTTTGATAAGGACGTCTCTCACGTCTAACCAGCCCTTAAACGATAACACCTCAAACAATGCCAGCATAGCGTCACCAATGTTATCAAAATTAAACCGCCGGGGATTTGCCCTACAAAGAAAAAAAAAATTACTACCTATCGATTAAGCTTAAGTGAGTTGTAAAATTATTAAAAGATGTGGGTTCACATGGACCATTTTTGACTGGTGATATTTTTTCTTTTCTTAGAGATAGAAGAGTGATAAATATTAGGAAGAGAGTCAGGAAAGGAGAGTTAAAAATGACTTATAAATAAAATGGAAGCGGTATTGACAAAACAGTATTGTATGAAAATAAATAAAAGTAAAACAAAAATACGGGTATGCAAGGGAAGCAGAAGTACCGAAAGAGCGAATATAAAGATAGGAGACCAAAAATTAGAAGAAGTGGCTGACTTTAGGTTTCTAGGAAGTCAGATAAGTCAGGACGGAAGGAGTAGTAGGAATAGAAAGCAAAAGATAGCACAGTGTCGAATCGCCTTCAATAAAAAGAAGTCACTTCCATGCTCGCGAACGGTTAATATAGAAATTCGAAAAAGGTTTTTAAAGGTGTATGTTTGGAGCGCGATGCTGTACAGGTGCGAAACATGAACGATGGGCGCGGTGGAAAAGAAAAGGTTAGAACCGTTCGAAATGTGGTGTTACAGGCGAATGATGAGGATACCGTAGATAGAAAAGGTTAGAAATAAAGAGATATAAGAATAGGAGAACAGAGGACTCTATGGAAATCAATAAAAAATAGGCGAGGTAGGTTGGTAGGACACCTTATCAGGCATGAAAGTATAGTCAGAAACATATTAGAGGCAGAAAAGGGAGTTAGGAGGGGTAGAGGTAGATCTGGCTTAGATTACTGTTGGCAAATAGTTAAGGATGTGGGATGTTCTAGTTTTACGGGAATGCGAAAACTAGCTCAGGATAGGAAGGAGTGGAGATGCGTGTCCAGCCAGTCTTAGGACTAACGACCTTATAATGATGAGGGTGTTTTAACTGTATTTATAAAATAAGACTGAATTAATAGTAATTGAATTAAGACAGGAGTTTAATTATTTTAAATAAATATAATTTTCTTACCACACACGTGGTACCAACATTGACGGATAAGATTCGTTTTCGCCAGGGAGTAGTTTCATTTTTGTTACGAAGACTCGTCTCATAAAAACCCCAACACAATCCTCCCTTTTCAGAATAGTAGGATCGTTACACCGAGCTAGCCTACCACCGTAAAGTTGAACACCATAACTTGCAAACACAAATATCAATAGAATCAATAGAGTTGATACCTAAAAGATTAAATAACTTTTTATTAGTCGTTTGCATATTGTATAGAGATATTTAACTGACTTACCAATAGAATTTCTTTGAAGCCTCTGCACAATTCATAGACTACTTTCCTCATGTGAGGAACGAGAGTGAATATCCTTAAAGGTCTTAAACACCTCAAGATCATTAAGAGTTGAGCGCCAGAGTTTGCAGGAACCTTCTTCGGCATCCAACAGAGGAAAAACAAACTCACCTGTGTTTAAGAATGTTAAGAATTACTAGTAGATACATAATAATCAATAACAAAAACCTATTTTTAAATTGAAAACCAAATACCTAAACCAATACATTTTTAAATTAATGTTATTCTTTATAAAAACGTTTCTCCAGGAATAGTATTACATGACCAGATGCAATCTAAAGATTTGGTTAAAATTTCGGCTTGATCTACAATTGTGTTCGATATGAACGAAGGTCTCATGACGCAAGTGGAAAAGAAAAATTCTAAAATGATTAATTTCTAATTCTACGTGGAATTATTGAGTGGCAAATTTAATTTCTTTGGCCTTGATGTATAGCAGCGTGATATTTCATCTTCCTTCAGTCATCACAAGCAAATTAAACTAATTGTGATGTAAAATCTACTAGTATTTGATGTAATTTTAAGGAGAACAGTAGATACTGTACCAGAAGTCATTAGTGGTTGTTCATCATTACTTTCTAAACTTACCATGTAAATGAAAACATCCAAAACTGAAGCAACATCTTTAATGTACGCCTTTGGTGTGAAAAACAATCCATCAGCCAATATTTTTAAAGCTAATTCCATGCTCATGAATATTACGAAACCGTACTCGGCAATCTGGAGCGACACGTGTTCCATGACTCTATATGAAGGTGTTTCAAACATCATTGATAAACACGAGAGGGTTGTCATGGTTATCATCACCCAATCTAAGTAGGTTACTAGACCCAGAAAATTACTGCAAATAAGTAATTATTCCAAATAAAGAAATGAAAGTATGCACATCGCTGCTTCTTAATCTATATGTTGAAGGCGCGATAAACATTATTTAAGGCAAGACAACTTTAGGGATAGATATACAGGGACAAAGATTAGTGTGCTTAGATTTCCAGACTGATATCGCAGTATTGGAATATAGCAGCGAGGAGGCGTCATCATCATCATCATAAGGTTGTCAGTCCTAAGACTGGTTGGACAAAAAAAAAACTTTTGGATGTTTCATTCTCACCAGCCAGTAATGCTGGTGGGCGGGCAGTCTCTCCGGACTATGCCGGAAGGTAGTGCGGAAGGCCCTCTTCAGCCTGCTTTCAGGAATCGTGGGAATGGGTGGGTGGTGGTTCGGGTGAGAAAGATGAGACGGACGAAATGAAGACAGAAGAGAATGAAAGATTATCTGTGGAATATTACTGCCTCAGCATTTGCCTAGGTGATCCAAGGAAACCACAGAAAAACCTGGACCAAGGCAGACGGATGGACCTGGAATCGAACCAGCGTCGTCCCGAATGCTAAGCAATGGTTGGACACGTACCTCCACTCTTTCCTATCCTGAGCTAAATTTCGCATTTCCCTAAAACTATAACAACCCACATCCTTAACTATTTGCGAACACTAATCTAACCTAGATCTAGGGGGAGGAGTTAAAGAAAGCATTAAATAAAATGGAAGCAGTATTGACAAAACAGTATTGTATGAAAATAAACAAAAGTAAAATAAAAATACTGGTTTGCAAGGGAAGAACAAATAGGAAGAGAGTAAATATAAAGTTGGAAGACAAAAAATTAGAGGAAGTGACTTATTTTCGATATGTAGGAAGTCAGATAACTCAGGATGTAAGGAGCAGTAGAGATACAAATACAGGATCGAGTTGCCAAGATGTCAATTCTATGCTTGAGAAAGGTATATGTCTGGAATGCGGCTCTGGCACGGTTGCGAATCGTTGACGATGGGCGCGACGGAAAGGAAGGGTTAAAATCGTCCTACATGTGGTGTTACAGGCGAATGATGAGGATACTGTGGATGGAAAAGGTTAGAAATGAGGATGTATTAGAAAGGGTAGAAGAAGACGAGATGGGTTGTGGAACACCCTCTTAGGCACGAAGAGCCAGTTAGAGACATACTGGAAACAGAAACAGAAGTTAAAAGGGGTAGAGGTGGACCTAGATTAGATTCATGTTCACAAATAGTTAAAGATAAGAGATGTTCTACTTTTAGGGATAAGTGAAGATTAACACAGGACAGGAAAAAGTGGAGGTGTGTGTCCAACAAGTCTTACGATTGACGATGAAAAAAATTTTTAGTAATTTTACGTTAATATGACAAATAATCTAACAACTGTACAATTGAATCGAAAGAAATAAGTTAATACTTAACTGTAAGCTTTTGTATTTAACTTTCCGTTCTTTGCCCGTTATGGGGTCTTTTAGTCGAGCATCATATCTGGCATAGACTATCAATTGACAAATTTTTCTGAATTTGCTCTCTCGTGGAACAGCAAACAACGGCGTGTCGAAAAAGGGATGATTCTCTCGAAGATCCTCTTCGCGTTGATTCCTAACAACATACGAAAACATTGAGGATGTTTAGTATAAACTGTAAGGCGATAATTACTGGCACTTGAAACAGTTGATGCACTAATCTATCGATGAAAATTCTAGTCATAAGCATAACAAAGTTGTTGATAATATTGATACGGCTTTTCATGGATTGGTAGCTTTGAAACGTATGTAAAAATTATTAAATTAAATGTACAATTCAATGAACAGCTAGAAGCTATCAATTTTCGATATCCAGGATGTCAGACAATAAATCTGGATTACAAAAAAAACCGTAGACAAAGTAAAGTCGCTTTCAACAAAAACGAATCACTCTTTTAACATTTTGAACACTGGAATACTGAAAACATTTCAGAAATTGAATACTTTATTTTCCAAATGCTCGAATGAGAAGATGAAAAAGAAATTTTTAATTCCTCACCAGGATTATTTTATAGAATTGAACAAATGGGTCATGTAATTACTTTATGATCTATTACCTTCTCATTTCAGCTTGTTGCCGCTTGGCTTGTAACAATTTTATGTCTAGATCATGCGGTCTGGCCCTTGCAGAGCTCATTCTGTTTACCCCAATATCCCCATTTTCCATTAAATGTTCGTAAGTTTGTTTCAGTTTTATTGACCCACTTCTGACACTTCTACGTATAGACCTCGATCCAAATCTGTAATTTCATACGCTCTGTTGTTAACACTACTATCTTTTGTAATTGAGGCTTATCGACTTGAAGGAGTTGAAAGACATTAATGTAAAGAAAAGTTTTATTTGGAAGTATACCGTAAGTGTAATTATGTAGTTACAAAAGGTTATGTGCTTGCTTTTTGTTTATCAGGGGTCAACATGGAATACATTTTGTATATTTTTAGTTTCTACTTAACTGTTTTGTACTGTTAATTGTTCCTTGGGGCTTTAGGGGCCCTTTGCTTCCTGGTACAGGAATTATCGATGAATCTCCCAGGGTTAGACGTTGATTGTTGGAATCACTGTAGGTTATCGTGAAAAGTTTTAATTTAAAGGCATTAACTTCGCAAATAAAGCATTACTGAATAAACTCGAAATATGTATTTGTACATACTGAATTATTTGTGCTACCGATGTTCTTTTAAATTTGGAATCTATCAGTCGATTTTTGGGTAACTTATTCAACGTCCGTATTGGTTTCTGTTTCCTGTAGATCACTTTAGTATCAAATACATCTTCACTAACCCGTTTTACAATAACTTCCGAATTCTCATCATCTTCGGTTTCTGCCACAAACTGTCGCATGAAACTCTCCCTTACCTGTAAAGAAATTTCATTATAGCTTAACCCTTTTTACAAACAGAAGGTTATGAATTATACCTTTGGAACGTTAAAATCGGATGGAACTTTATGGAGGGTGACCATTAAAGGACTGTCCCGAAATTTTTCAAATATTCGTAGTCTAAACGGCAATGTCTCCTTTATCTCAGCGCTTTGTTCTCGATATTTTAGCTGCTTTAGCTTCTTAATATCCTCGTCTAACTCTAAATTGTCCAATATCACCGCTACGAACAAGCTAAGTACAATCTGGAAAGATTTCGTGCAGGAAATAGTAGTAGTAATCTTTTATCTGGCCCAAAAATCACCAAAAATTAAAAAAAGTCTTACCAAAGTGACGAAAAGATGATACAATATAAAATAAACTGCAACGAGTGGTGCAAGCGTGGACGGAGTCCTCAACATTGTTTCATCCATTACCTCGACCCAAGCTTCTTGAGTGAGAATCTGGAACATGGACATAAAAGCTTCAGTAAAGCTCTCGAATTTGGTAAAGTCGCAAAGGAAGCAAAAAAGCTGCATGGATATGCTCGACGATATAATCAGTAAACACATTGTAAATATTATCAGACTTCCCAGCTTCTTTCCTGGACCAAATATCTTGTAAACGAAATCTTCCAACAATGGAGATGCCTTGATCAGTCTTACAATTCGAAGAACCTAAAAATGAACGGATATTTTGGAAGCTTTTCAAAAGGTTAAAAAACATTTATATTTTTTAATATTTTTTTTTGGAAGTTACTCTCATAAAAGGGATTAAGTAGATAATACAAGTAGATAGATACAATTGCTTTGAATATCATAAATTACTTGAAAGTATGTCAATCCTGACATATAACAGCCTGGTAGTACGTGGAGTGTTGTACCGATTGCCAATAGGAGTTCAAATTTGTGTATCGAATGCTTCCAATAACCTCTCCATCCGAGGCACCATATTTTGAAGACAGTTTCTAAATTGAGAACAACGGTAAATCCAATTTCGATGTAATAATATTTCATGTAGAAGTCGCTTCTGGGCCTTTCATCATGTTTAAATTGCATTGTGGCAGTCACAATTCCGTTGGCTAAAATTATCGCCATAACCAGTAGACGGAAATGGGGTGATCGTAAAATTTTGTGACACACTTCTGGAGCACCGCCCCCGTGTTTATTCTCGTCGAGAGTTACCAGTTTCCAACCCCTATCGTCTCCTGTCAGAATCTGCCAAAACATAAAGAAAGTTATGATGACTAAAAGGAATGTCATATATCTAATACAATTGTAGTGGGTAGTCAATCTGATGATGAGATGAGTGAGAAAATCAGTAAAATCGTGACTTGTGGAGTACCTGAGAACCTGTACTGTTCTGAAGTTGTTGCCTGACTCCCCACATCTGTTGGAATTGCACTCTGATCTCGTTAAATGTTTCTGTGATAACAGCAATGAAAACATTCTTTACCAACCACGCCAGAAAGAATATCATGGTACTAAAATAAAGTACTGCCCTCCATCCAGGCAGAGAATCGATGGCCCTGTACATTATAAAAACCCACCCTTCTTGGGAAGCCGCCTGGTAAACCGTAAAAACGCTGGTCACTAAAATTAAAAGGTTATAACTGAGTAGTTAATGGAAAACTAGTAGAATAGCGTTATGGAGATTGAAAGCAATGAAGTTACTAGTTCGTGACAGAAACAGAATTACGTGTGAACAGACGTTACTTTTCACAGTTGTGAAGTATAAGGTTTTGGTCAAACTACTGTATATATTTCAAAAAATAATTTGTTTTGACCAAATACCACCTTACCGAATTCATCGAAACCATTGAATCCCATTATATATCGAGACAATTCCAGTTTCATACATTTCATTCCTGTCGGACATTGATATCCAGAATCAGGATTGAGAGAACAGAATGTATCAGGAATTGCTAAACTGTTGATGGTGATATGTCTGAAAAGATGTTGATAAACAATGAATCATGAGGATGAAGAAAATATCACACAAGTAGTGATACCTAGGGTCGGTTGTATTTAGAACGCAATGATTTTTAAGTTCCCCAAAAAATTGAACTCCCAGTAGTCCATACAAGGACATGAAGAACAAGAAGAAGAGGGTCACGTTATAAATTTGTTGACTTGATCGCCTGAAATTAGAAATGAAATATTCAGTGTAAATAATAAATGTCGGACGGAAATTTAATATTTACTTGAAAATTTGGTTGATTCTTGATTTTGGCATGGAGAATTTAAGGAAAACCCTCAAGAATCGTATCATAATCAATGGACGTGGAGCCCGAAGAATTGATAAGTAACTGAATCGTGGAACGATACCCATCATTTCAAATATCTGAAGAATTACTGATATCCAAAGAAAGAATACCATACTTGCGTCAAATTGACACCAATGGTCTTTCAAGTAAGGTACTTCTCCCTGGTAAGTGTTCTTTTTAAACACGAGTGTATTTACATACTGTGGTGGGTATCTAATAAAATAAATGGATTACCTTTAAGATTCCTCTAATATGCATTTTCGCAATCATTTCTGCCGTAAAGAGAAATGTGACAACCACATCGATAAAAAAAGTAATGTATTGGAGGGGGGCCAGTTTTTCAAATGTCTTCGGTGTGTTGCAGCTTACCGATGCCAAACTTAATAGAGCACAGAGTCTCATGATTCTTCGAACCCATCGCTAAAAGACATGTTTGCAGTAGTTAGAAAACATAGTTGAATGAATTTTATTATCCATATTCTTCCCTTTCTTTTAACCAACGTGAATAATAAAAGCCAAAAATGGTTAATAGTTATTTATTATTTAAAAACGTTCACCAACGTTTCGTCCTAAGTTGCAAGGCTTTCTCAAGGCTAGTTTTTGAAGTGAGTTAGGATGTAAAGCAGTTAGAATTTCTTTTTTGGAAAGGTATTTATTAGTTAACATACCAAAATGATAACAATTGTATAGATACAAAGACTAAATATAACCGGTAACGTTCACACTTAAAACGAAATTAAAATCATAAGGTCGTCAATCCTAAGACTGGTTGGACACGCACCTCCACTCTTTCCTATCCTGAGTTAATCTTCGCATTTCCCTAAAACTAGAACAACCCACATCCTTAACTATTTGTGAACAGTAATCTAATCTAGGTCTACAACTACCCCTCCTTACTCCCGTTTCTACCTCTAATATGTCTCTATCCACGGTATCCTCATCATTTGCCTGTAACATCTCATTTCGAACGCTTGTAATCTTTTCTCTTCCACTGCGCCAAAATAAATAAATAATTAAAACCACGTGACGACAATAGGCGATTTTTACTCCATAATTGTATTACTGTCTGGTTGTCAGGCGTTGAAAATGATCACAATTTAGTGGATGAAATACGTAACTACGTTTTTTCAAAGCGCTATGGTATTTGGGGTAAGTCTTCTTAATTTAATAGTTAAATGATAATACACTAAAAATATATGGTGAATGTTATTAATGTAGGACCTAGTATTATTTCGTTCTGATAAATTTTTAACTTGTCTCAACTTTTTAAATTTAGCCTTGTTTGTTTGGAGCGCGGCGCTGTACGGGTGCGAAACATGGACAGTGGCGGCACAAATAGTTAAAGTTGTAGGTTGTTCTAGTTTTAGGGATATGCGAAGATTAGCTCAGGGTAGGAAAGAGTGGAGGTGCGTGTCCAACCAATCTTAGGACTAATGACGTTATGATGATGATGATGATGGTTTCGTAGCTAAATGGCGAACTCGGAGTAACGCGAAGTCGAGTTTGTCTTAGTTTTACAATTAGTTTTAAGTATTAATGAGAGGTGAAATATTTATTTTTTCATGAGTCAGATCATGGGAACTCAAATTTGCGAAATGATTATCTTCAAAGTGGTTTACAGTGTGTCACCCTACTGATTTCTAACAAATTTATTTAAATTTTTTTTTTAAAAAAAATTGACTAGCATTTGCAATTAATATTACTTCTTCAAAAATCCAAAGTTGTGGTTGTTTTTGGGTAATTAATCAGAAATTGGTAAGCGGTTGTGTGCATGTCCAACGCGCTCTTGTTGACTCGTTAAAGATTTTGGTTAATTTTCATAGTGCCAGCTTTAGAAGGAGCACTTTTCTGTCACATATTAAATATGTTTCATTGTATGGAAAAGTTAAAAATTAATAAAAACCTACGTAATTATGAAATAATTTATGAAACCATTCAACTGCGTTTCATAAAAGTTTAATTATTAATACTAAGTGAACTATTCATCTATTAAAATTATTATTTACCTTGTTAACCCATTCTATGTCCGCATTTTCATTGAATGCTTCTTCTGGTCCATAGTCTGCTAAAACAGGTTCCCCCTTGATGCTCTGCTTCCGTCCCAGCATCATATTTAATAACAGAATGATCACACTTCCGAACCTAACAATTATTAAAAACTAACACACATTTAATAATAGTAGTTGCTCTGCTTAGGTGTTTCACTTTCATATCAAAAGGTATCGATTCACAAAAAAAGGAAAAACGACTCTTAATTTTCCATTTTAGTTGAAGTGTCGAGATTGCTCTCGGAAAAGTTGGAAAATCCGGAGCGGGCCGGAAAATCAATATTTCTATGCCAACCTCTTTAAAGAAAGGTTACTGTGCTGCGCAAATGGAGCAATCACTTGTCAAGTTTGAAAAGTAACTATGAAGTACTTCTTCATAATTTATTTTTACTCGAAATTAAATACAGGGCAGTGAAACCTAAGGTCTCATAGTAATATCATTGTGAGATTGCGTTCCAACACATTCCTTATTTGACTTACGTTGACCCTATTTGGCAACAATTGTCGAAAGGGATAATTAGGGATAGAACCATTGTCACTGTTAAGAGATTTCGATCAGTTTTTATAAACAAACGTACTTTCAAAGCTATCAAGCAAGTAATTACTTCCAATTTCTTTAAGTAGTTAACTAATTCTAATTAATTTGTCTTGTTGTTGTGTTGTAAGGTCCAATTAACATTGCAGTTACACTACAAATCTTTCCATTGTATGTTTGTAGTTCTCATCAGTCCCTGAAGAAGGTCACCTTGTTACTCAAAAGTGCTTTTGACTGGTTTCATTAAATTCCATAGTAAGTGAAAATGGTTTCACAATTTCGTACGCTTGTTTCTCTGAAATTCATTATTTAATAATTTTATCGTAAGTTAATTAACAACATCTTTGAATTTTTATTGTTTTACTGCAGCTTACTTGAACTATAATTTTGACGAATTGGTTATAAATTTGAAAGTTTATTTTTACTTTCAATTCTACCTACTTCAGTTTCATTATCTTTTATTCGATATGAATTTACTTTATTGGTCACCCTGTATATGTGTCATAAATCGGTTGAAAGTTAAAAGTTGCATTACAATTTTAAAGATTTAGAAAACTAGTCTAGTATTGACCAGGAAGTGTTTTCCTTGGTTTATGTGTTAATTAATTTAATGAAAATTCCTTTTAAGCACTCAAAATTGAAAAATCATGGCGTTATCATTTTTATATTAAATTACGATTACAGATTGTTTTCGTACTGGTATTGACGAGTTAGTTCGTCCTGTTTAGGTTTATCTTCTCACTTTAAGATGGAGCTTCTATTACTGTGTCAGGATAAATAAATTATCTCATGGACATCCTATCAAATGACAAAATACTTTATAGAAGACCATGTGGCATTCCTCATAAGATAGAACAACGTAAAAAAAGGAATAGATTTCGCAATTTGCACGTTGCTTTAAGAACCACACGATTCAATATTCACATACGTTTCCTTGCTTATTAAATTGAGGTTCAAGGCCACGTTTTTGAAGTTCTGTGTAGCCAATAAATAGCTTTACGTTTTGTGTGTTATGGTAGGAACCTTGGTAAACAAAAAATAATTAATTCCAAATAATCCCCATCCATACTTTACATTAATTATTCTTGTTCAATTGCAATTCAAGAATTACTATTTTTGTATTGAGTTTGATGGTAGTTAACAATTTATGAATAAATGATAAATACATTGAGCAAAGGTAGGAGTTCTGGTTACAAAAATGATTCAAGGAAACAAATTACAACCCTTATGAATAACGGGGACTAAAATGGAGAGTTTTTGGTCAGGTAAACCTCCTAGATATTTAAAGAATGCCTGCTTCCCCAAAATGCTAATCTATGTACCGATTGCCTGAACTAATAATAAATATTGCTGTCTGTAGTTATTATTTCGAGAATTATAAACGTTGAAGGTGTAACATGTGTATAGGGTTGTTCGGAAAGTCATTTCGTTTTTTTTGTGGAAATGAAAGACAGTTTTCGTATAATAAACAAATACATTATTAAATTATATATTGACGTTCTGGTCCAACACCTTTTGCCATCTTTCTGGTAGTAGCATAATTCCACGCTCATAAAATTTTTGGTCTTTGCTGGCAAAAACACTGATCGAGGAGGTTTTTGACCTCCTCATTTGACTTGAAGGTTTTACCGTCTAAAAAATTTTGGAGTGACCGGAACAAATAATAATCCGATGGTGCCAGGTCTGGTGAATATGGTGGGTGTAGTATTGTATCCCATTCAAGCTGTAAAAGCTTTTGGCGAGTGACCAAACTTGTGTGAGGTCTCACGTTGTCTTGGTGAAACACTACACCTTTCCTGTTGATTAGTTCTGACCTTTTCTGTTGAAGTGTATCATTCAGTTTGTCCAGCTGATGACAGTAGACTTCCGAATTAATTGTTGTGTTATCCGGTAAAAGCTAAAAAAAAAACGATTCCTTTAAAATCCCACCAAACAGACAGCATCACCTTTTTTTGGTGAATATCGGCTTTGGAAATGGTTTGAGCCGGTTCATCTTTTTTGCGTCATGACCTCTTGCGTTTGACGTTGTTGTATACAACCCATTTTTCGTCCCCAGTGATGATGCGCTTCAAAAATGGATCATTTTCGTGACGTTTGAGAAGCGAATCGCAGACGTCAATGCGGCGACACAAATTTCTCTCTGTGAGAACATGGGGAACCCATACATCGAGCTTCGAGGATAATCCCAGGCCTTTCAAGTGGTCATAAACTGTTGAATTCGACATCAAAATTGCCGGATCGAAATTTAGCGAACCAGTTCTGGCACTGGCGTACTGTCAACACACCTTCTCCATACACATCAGTCAATTTCTTTCTGGCTTAAACAGCATTTTTACCCTTTCTGTAGTAAAACAGTAAGATATGTCGAACATGCTGCTTATCGCTCTCCATATTTAAAAGGGCACCAACCAAAAACTACTGCGTAGAATTAATTGGAATTTTTCACACACAAGCCTTGCTATATGAGCTCTCAAAGCATATAAAAATTATACGGCTTAAATGTGAAGTTGGGTGCAAAAGAATACAATTAAATCCTCTGTCGGGAGAAAACGAAATGACTTTCCGAACAACCCGATACAATTGTACCGACTTTCAAAATACTTAGCGACTATAATGATGCCTTTTGGTCTTTTTGGTATATAATCCTACTAGGCTTTTAGGTTGTAGGCATGTTGAAAAGAACGGTAATTAATAAATTGTAAAACACTCAGGTCACGACAGCTCGCCTACAAGCATTTCATTAAATTCTTGCAAAGAGTTTTAATCAAGTTAAGGAGTATGAAAACCAAAATGGTGCTACGGGTGGCTAACATTCAATGAAGCAAAACTTTCATTCATCTAACGTTTCCAACTTTTTTATTGAAAGTCCCTAGTTACTGTTATATAGTTGAGTCTTTTGCAAAAGGGAGTTCGGTCATGATGGAGAAAGTTTCACCTTCTCTTATTTTCTCGATTTATTGCTAATTTAAGAATTTTTAAGGCCGCTTTCAAGAAGGAGGCCTTTTATAACATTTTAATCTCTTAAAACTTTTAAAATCCTCTTAGTTTCATGTTATAAAAGTTGTTAGCATTTTGTTTGTAACACTGCCAAAGCTATAAAATAATGTACTTATTACGCTGTTTTCTACTTTATTCAAAGAAGTTGTTTTAGTTACTTTATGGTTTTCTGCAGAGGATTATTACACTTTTTAAAGAGATTATGGAGAATAAAACATTTTACCTAAATTTGTCGGAAAACATTTCAAAACATCGATAAATATTTACAGTAATTTTGCCACTGATCCACCAAGATCTGAAGTAATAGTTCCAAAAGAATCTCAACTAATATTTTAAAATCGCAATTTTAAATCTCCGCAAATGTAAAATGCATTATAGTAATAATAATCAGCAGTTTTTAAATACATTTTTATCTTCTTAAAACAATAGGTAAATATCAGACAGACCATTGATTGAATTATTGGTAAAGGTCTAGGTGATGCCCCCCCTTTTCGGGGGTGGGGATAGGGGGGTCGAAGGAGGAGGTCTCCCCCACCACTGTAGAAAGTTATGGGGATTCAAAGTTAATAGATATGCCAATTTTTATACATTTCTAGGCATGTAAACATTTATATAGTTATTCTTAAACAATATTCAAAGGTAAAACTTATGAAAAATACATAAAAATATTGAGAAAGTTATATAAAACATTATTTAAATATTTTTATCAATAGGGTAGGTTAGGTTAGGTTCGGCTAGGTTATCGGGATTTGTTCAAGTGACCACCCTCTTCCGATCCCCCACCTCCACCCGCTTGAAAA